CCGGTGTTTACCTCTCAATCAGGTCAAGAGATCCAAATCTTGAGATAAGAAGTTTTTCACGGATAATATTCCTAATTTCGTCACCTCGAATGTAGAATCGTCAATATTGTACCGATGAAGCTGCATTATATACTCATCACCAATATATTGCAGGATTTATCATGACAGAGGCTTTTCCCCAAGAATGCTTTTTCATGGCAGCGATGAGGAGAGGCCTCCGTAACCCAGTTAGATGGAACGACGACGAGTCTCTTCCTTTGACCCATCCTTGGTGGGAGCTAGCCTTAGAGGCCGCTGTGGAGAGATAGTTGATGTTAGTTGGTAAAGGAGTCGTTGATGTTGCCAAGATTGCAGCAGAGGACAACTTAGCTGATCCCTTAACGAAGAGTTTGCCGGAGAAGGTCTTCATCAAACACGTGATAGGAATGGGAGTCAAGTGTATGGCAATAAGATCGACATAGGTCTATTAGAATAACGGATTGATAGGACTATACTTGTAAAAGCGAAAATTTTAAGTATAAGTGGGAGATTGTTAGTGTTATATACTGAAAGCTTGACTTTGGATGATATTACACTTCTACCCTTTATGAATGAGAATTATGTTAGATTAAACAAGTTCTACGTTCTGTTGTTTTGCATTAGATAGTGTGGTTCGTCATCGGGCGAATCGAATATCATTTTAATCAGTTACTCGCGAAACAAGAATTAATATATCACAACCTAGGTGGACATGAACACTCCATCCGAAAGGATCAATCCTACGCGAAAAATGGAATAATTATTCCGTAATGCAATTATCTGCCAGCAGCCCTGGACAGAAGGTCGGGGTGAAGAGTCAAACCTCGGACAAAACGTGAGGGGTGAGCTAAATACCTCACAGAGAAAGGGACTTATCAGATGAAGAGGAATACGAAGGGTCAATAATTGAACCGGGATCGTTTCGTGACAAGACAGCAGCATCAGAAGCTGGGTTAGCAAGGGAAGCGGAAAGGGTGGGTCCCGAGAAACTCAACTTACACTTCTCTTTCTTTCAGGGATAGGTATATCTGGGATAGGAACCTTATTCCAATTGGACTGATATTGGGAAATAGTCTCCCTACGGGTCTTCTCTTCCTTTCAGTGTAGGAACCATAGAACAAACAACTTGGGAATACTCCGAAGGACAGTTCCCAGTCTTGAATAAACCACTTGGGAATTGTTTGAAGCTACTAATCCCAGTCCTCGAATAAGAAGGCTGTACCGAAGTAGTAGCAGCAGTAGCAGAGATAAAAGCAGCTCAGTTGCGGGTATTGATGCTTGAGACCATCTCCAATCGAAAAACTCATACTCAAACTCATTTTGCAGTAAATGTCAATTCAAACAGTAATTTTTCTCCAACCGAAAAACCCATTCTCAAACCCAAAAGAATATTCCTGTAATATTCTCTTTTCATCAACTTTTACAATATTTCAAAACTACCCACATATTTTACAACTTTACAAATTAAACCACATTATTATTTTAAATTTGGTTAACAATTTATGTAATAAAATTAAGTTTAATGTTAAAATACATATACATAATAAAATTAAAGAAATAAATATTGATTGAAAGTTGAACCATATTAAATATTCTTTTAATTGATAACTATTAATATACATAAGAAATATTCTTTGAAATACAACATTAAAGCATATATATAATTAAAGATAAAATTAGATCACAAATATGTTCAATGGGTAAATTTTATAACTAAAACATATTTTCACATATATATATATATATATATATACATATAAAATCACAAATATATATATTCATATTTATAGATAAAAATATTAATAATTTTAGCTTTAAATATAACCATTTATATCCATAAATAAAAGTTTTATATACATATATATTTTCAATTTTATACATGAATATGATATTTAAGGTACTTATATACGTATTAACATTTAGCACAAAAATAATTATATATATATATA